TTTTTCCTCGATCAAAAATAAATATGAAAGCAATACTTGCATTTTAAGAATTATTTTTAAAAGCATACGAATTAATATTGAAAGTAGCATAAGGTACCAGAAAAACAAAAAAAATCTGCCTTGAAAGAAGTACAGCAGGATACTCCTTAGAAGTGAACATGAAGAGATTTCATCTCTCATACTTTAGACAGGTTATCAGGAAGGACTAGTCCCTGGATAAGGATCTCATGCTTGGTAAAGTGGAGGGTCAGCAAAAAACAGGATGACTCTCAATGAGAAGGACTGTCACAGTGGCAACAACGGTGAGGATGGTGCAAGACTGGGCACTGCTTTGTTCTGTTATACATAGAGTCGCTGTGAGTCTGGCCAAAGAGACGGAAACTAACAAGTCTTGGTATGGTGCTGTGGGTTAATGCACTGGACTGCAAAGTTGGTGGTTCAAGCTCACCGACTTGATGGCATTTAACTATAATAAGAATATGAATGAATATGTGTAAAACTTTTAGTATCATGAATAGCATACATTAAATGTAATTACTGTTATTCTCTTATATTCAAACAAGGCTTGAAAGTTGTTTTCTTAAGAAATAGGCATAATATAAAAAGAGTGATAGCAACAGTTGGCAGTTCTCATGCCAACAGCGACCACTTATAAAATGAATGTTAGGGGAAAGTTCACACTGGTTATTTTGTTATGCTGTTAATTCATGAAGGCATTCGAATAAAGAGGAAGGGAAGACAAGACAATGACAAAGTTGTTCAAGTGGCACTGCTACTCAAGTGACTAATAGCATAAATAGCAAATGTGTGTTCTAAACACACTGCCTTCACACTGATTAGGACTTACAGTGATTCTATAAGGCAGAGTAGAACTGCTCATTAGGGCTTCTGAAACTTTAAATATTTACAGGAGGAAACAGTCTCATCTTTCTCCCACAGATCAGCTGGTGGGTTTGAACCACCAATGTTACATTTAGCAGCCCAACACTTAACTCACCGTGCCACCAATGCTCTTTATGGTATATTCTAGGAGGAGGAACATCTGGTTTCTTTGTGAACTCCCATGCCTGTACATTAAGAGAGCGCTCTTCACTCACCTCACTTAACAGGATGTTATGGAATCTTTCTTTGCATACCTGTTTTTGGAATTAGCCTTTAATACATGTGGTCTGGGTCTCCAGCATACATAAAAATAAATAAATGGCAGAAAGGAAGAGTACCAAATAATCACTCTCTCTGAACAACCAATTTCTTGACCAATCCTTAAAACTGGCAATGTGCTAAGTTGGATACATGTTTGGTAGGACGAGGACAAAGAAATACAAGTTTACAAGTATGAAGTCATAAGGGTGATAACAGAACAGAACAAACAGAAAAATGTCCCCCTAACTAATAAAACAAAGAAATCTGGACTACATGGTTAAGTTCAGTCATAACTGTCCTGAGAGAGGAGAGTTCACCAGGAGGATCCAGAAATGGCAGGCTTCTCCATCCTATGAGGTAGCACATCTAGACTCCATACCAAAAGAGGGCTAATTCAGAGAGTAGTGTAGTAGGTAAAGGGTCATTTTCCATGACATGGTGAAAAAGGGTAACAAGTGTTGTCATTATAAGGCAAGGTCAGAACGAAAAAATGCTATGCTTAAAGAGATATGTGAAGATACTGCTTGAACAGAACACTTTTCTGGGTAGGAAAAGGAGGTGTCACCAGATTGTTCAATTTAGGAGCAAATCAGAGTCAGAAAAAGATAAGACATGCAAGAAACTAGCAGGGGTGGGAGAGGGAGGCTCTTTTTTCTCATAGCCCTACAAATTTCCTGAGGAAAGGAACAGAATAAGGAAAGGGGACCATAAAATACATTCATTAAATAATGACAAATTGACTTTAAAATTTAAAACTTATCAACTAGATAGACAAATGAATTTAAGTATGTGTAAACCATTTGACCCACATGTGTACCTCTCTAGCCAATAATGCATTACTTTAGTTATTGTGGGGACAATTTAATTTTCCAGGATTTTTTTAAAATCAAGGAGTCGTGTGCAAGCAATTTACTTAACATTATCTTCCTTTCTTCCTTTAATGACTAGGCTATCTTATGTACAGTATCTAATCACAACTAGAATCAGATCAACAGCAGTACTTCTTTTGTCAAAGAACAAAAACAAATCAGTGTGACAGTATGACATAGATTTAATTAGCACTTGGCAGGTCATGAAAAACTTTTAAACAAGCATCTTTTAATTTGGAAAGTGTTAAAATATACAGTAATCATATACTGCCTTTCTTACAGTATGCTGACAGGCAGCAATATAAACCTGAAGAAGTAAGTCTTACTGCCAAAGAAGGGAAACAGAACACTGATCCATGGGTCACTACTGATTTCTGCAGGTAGTTCCTTGTTGAAAGTGTCTTCTCTGGATATATTCAAAGCTAATCGTCTGAAATCTCCTTTCATTGTCAGAGTTGTTTTTTTTTTTTTTTTACATTAATTACAGAGTCAAGAAAAGAAATCCAGGGGATGGGAAGGAAAGGTGGAGTGATAAACAAATGATACATACATACTTTTAAAATGGGAGACCTGGGAAATAGACAAATGATAAATATTGCTTAAACAAAAAGTTGCTGAATTGTTAAAAATTTTCCTACCATCAAATCAAATGGCATAATTTTATACATCCTGTTGGTTAGTAATGTAGAATATCTTGGTTCAAATGACCATGAAAAGGCTTACAGAACAATAACTATTTTCTTGAATAAATAAGAACAACCTAGGACCAACCTTACAGTGAGAGTAGTCAGCAACCTCACCACACAAGTGCGCCTTTTCTTAGTTGTAAAGAATGGGACACCTTCTTGGGCTAGGAGACCTTCCATAATGGTGGAAAACACCCATTGTTCAGAAAACCCCAATTGTACCTATTTTTTGTACTGTCCAAAGCCAAGTGTATGTATAGCTTCATAGGGTTCAGAGCCTACTTAATGCTCATTTCTTGATGAATATATGACAGATGCTAAGAGTAGTGTTCTTCCTGCCCCAGAAAGTAAAATATTGCAAGAGAAATATTAGTCACATTTACTCTTTCACTCCATGTGTCTTGAACATTACTATGATCTATGCGAGACATTTGTTGTAAATAAGCCTGCAGAGTGTACAGTATGTTTTCCAGGAGACCTTTAAGGAACAGCTTGCAGACAAGAGGTGCTAGCCTTAGTTTCACAGTCAGTGTAACTCCACTCCAAGAAGCTTTTGGCATGTCCCCACCTCTTGTTTAGAGCTGGCTACAAGACAACTTTAGGAACCAGATTCTAAGGGGTCAGCACATAGAGTCAGCCACTCTTAGGTATGCAACACAAAATAGCAAGTGAAAACTCTGACACTTAGATCAACATTCATAAAAGAAAAGGCTGGCTTTTCCCTATCCCAGTGTACAGAAACAAGTCAGAGCTGACTTTGCAATGAGGCATTCTCTGAACGTTGTAAATTAAATGGCTGAAGCTTGTGCCTCTTCTAGCAAGGGAAAGAACTATGCTTCACCATAAGCCAGTGTGTTCAAACGTGAGGCTCATTTTTTAAGCCTTTCCTGCGTTTTAAAAGCTTGCTCCATTAAAAAAAAAAGAAGAAGAAGAAGTAAAAAAAAAAAACCACTCTTCAGGAAATGAAATGCAAATAGTCACAGAACAGAATCATAAAACGGGAAGTCTATAATCCACATCTCTCTCTCTCTCTCTCCCAGTCCCTTTTTAATTCTTCACTTCAGGCAGCACAACTGCTTTTAACACACCTTTAGCTTTTATAAAAATGAGATTACATCGATTCTTTTGTAATGGTCCTCTACCCTTCCCACCCTTTCTGTCTCCCAGCTACTCAGAATACTACTCAGAACGCATTCAGGAGAGGGAACAGAGCAGAAGGTGAGGCGGTCAGCTCAGTTCCACCTCTTGCCAGACAAGTGTTAGGTAAATCATTTAATGCAATTACATATTCTAAGCCTCATTAATGGATGGCATACAGGGAAAGAGGATGGGAAAGAGATGGTTCTGAATTATTTCAAAGGTAAAGCCACAGTACTCTCGAGCTATGTCTGAAAATGCCTCTAAGCGTTTCGGAACAAATCCCTGGGATTAATTTTCAAGTTGATGCTTCCTGTCCTCGCTCAAGGTGGAACTAAATCCAGTTGCAAAATTTCAGTCTGCTGGAGTTCTGAGAAACCAGGAAAATGGGGTCTACACTACCAGTAGGAAAGAAAAAGAGATTTCTCTGCTGCTCAGTGAGAACTCGCGCTCGCTAGCTGGAGTAAGCGCAGGGTAGAGAGAGGAGGCACCGGTTAAGCAACCTCAGGCCAACTGCTATCCCGGTTTGGCACTGCAGGCGCAGTTAAACCAGGATAGTGCACCCAGCTTTCCAGAGCTCCCGCACACACGCGGCCTCCACGCTGGAAAGCTTAGTGCTAACTAGAACCCTGGACCAGAGGCGCCCAAGGGTTCAATGCCACGCTTGGCGCAGAGCAAAAGGACCTCAGCATGAACGTTGGTCCCTTAAGGAAAAAAAAAGTGTCCTCTTAATTCAAGTCCACTAACCCTACTGAGACTGAACATCACTCGGTCCCTCTCGCTCAAAACTCTCGGACATCATCGTTGGCGCCCATCCCTGAACGATCTCATCTTGGAAGGAAGTAGGGGGAACAGGAGAGAGCAAGATTTATGTGAAGAGGGGGCTACTCCAGTCTGCAGCAATTGGGGAGGGTTTGGTAATGGAGCAGACTATAGGTGTAAAGGGCAGAGACCTGGTCACAGCAACCTGTAGGATTGCGGCAGATTGCAAACTTAGGGTGGCAGGCTCTGGTCCTCTAGGAGGTTCTCCACTCTACTCCCACAGTGTTCGGCTAGACGCGCCGAGAGGTGCAAGGCGCAACTTGGGAAGCCCGCGCCATGGTGCAGGTCCCGCTCAGTCTGGCTCTCTCGCCCTCGCCCCCCGCACGTTCTCTTCAGCGCTTACCTCGAGCAGCCGCAGCCCCCGCCGCCCAGAAGCAGAGCCCCAGCCACAGGATCCACCGTCGCGCCCCTCCGCTGCCTCCTCCTGCGGCGGCCACTCTCCCCATGCTCCTCGCCCCACTCCGGAGCACAGCTCCTCTCCACGCCCCGGGAGTCCGCAAAAAGCCCAACAAGGAATGGGCCGAACGAGTAGGTCAGGGTGGGCTTTAGCGAGTGACAGTTCCACGATCGCTCCCTAAGGTAGCGGGGCAGGAAGCTCCGAGTCGCCGCTGGATAGGCACCCAGAGAAAGCGCGCGCCTCCATAGCCCCCACGGATGGGCGACCGCAGCCGCACGGCCGTTACCCAAGTCTCTAGGTGTCCCTGCCTTGTCCCTCACAGCCCTCACGCCGCTGCCCGGCGTCGGACTAGCTAGCAGAGGAGCGAGTCCGCATCGCTAATGAGACCCCCGCGGCCGCCCCTTCTCCTCCCTTCCGCGCCGCAGCCAATGAGTCGGGCCGGGGCGGGGCGGCAAAAGGGGCGGTGGCAGCTGGGCCGCTCGGGGCGGGCAGGCGGGGAGGTGCAGGTGAGCCCCGCGGCGCCTTCACGTGTCCCTAGGTTTTCCCACGTTTCTCAAACAGCCCCCCTCTCAAAGAGAAAGGAAAGGAGGCCAGAGTCTGGCTGCTTAGGAGGAGCACAAGCCTCGGGATGTGTGAGAGCAAAGCTGGGTAGCCCTATTGGAGGCGAAAGCTGAGCAGAAAGACGAGGGTATTTCATAGCTATCTTAAGGGAGTACGCTGCTTCCATGAAACCTGCTCGGTTTTGTTCAACTTTGAGCCCTTTGGAAGTCCTGATTCTCCTTCATTTTTTTTTTCAACGTCATATCAAAAATCAATCCTGAAAAAATGAAGCGAAAGACACTGGAACAAATTCATTTAGCAACTATGCTAAATATGCATGCATATAAATTAATAGATGGTGAAATTGCAATGTTGGGTGCAGTAAGGGGTATGTGATCTATTTCTATTTTAATTATTTTCTTTTCCAATTTTCCCTCTGTTTTCCTAATAACTTCAGAATCCCCAAACTTTTCAGAAAATATCCTCATTTTTTTTATATTCCTTGACTTAGAGTTGAACTTGACTCGTAACGACCTTATAGAACTGAATAAAAGTGAACCCTAGGATAGCGAGCGTAGTGGCTGCGAACCTTAAGATCAGCGGTTCGAAACTACCAGCCGCTCCGCGGGAGAACGATGAGGCTTTCTACTCCCGTAAAGATTTACACCCTCGGAAACCCTGTACAGGATCGTATGGGTCGGAACCGACTCGACGGCACTTAACAACAACAACAACAACAAGGGTTTCCAAAGCTGTAATATTTACCTCTGCTAACTACCACATCTTTCTCTTTTGGAGAGGCTATGCCATTAAGCATAGCCTTTCTGATGTTGTTGTTGTTGGGTGCCTTTGAGTGGGTTTGGACTCATAGTCATTTGATGTATACTAGAGTGAAACACTGCTCTTTCCTGCGTCATTTCTGATAGCTCCTAACTTCCTTTAAATCTGGCCCCTAAGAATTGCCTTCTCTTAAGGAGAGGAGAGTCATGTTGGGCCTTTGCACGTTTATAACAAAAGCAAAGACTTTTTAAACTTTGGTTTGTTTTTAATAGACCACGAAACCTTTATTCAACTACTTTTAAATGTTTCTTAGAGTTGCTCCTTTTCTTCCCTCTATGGAAGGAGAGAAACTACAGAGATTGTCCGAGGCCCCACAGATTCTGACCCAAGTACCATCTTCGTTTGTCTTTGAGTGACCCCTAAACTCTGTGGTCAGACTATTGCATCATCTTGTCTAGCATTAGGTCCCCCAAACAGTGCTAGAGCTCATGTGGATGAATGTAAGAGTATACCCCCTTTTGCCCATTTCCCAATAGAAAATGACATCTCGATTTGAAAGAAATAGAACCTTGCCAGCATTTCCCCACTTCTTTCAATATCGATGCAAATACTTTTTAAAAATCCATCTCTCCAGCCAAAGTGCTACCTGTACCCAAGCACCTTTCTCTGGAGAATAAGCAGTTTCACATAAGGTAATTATTTTGGATGAGGTAATTGCACGGACTTGCTTTCTTATGAAGAAAAAGGATGATAGATACAAAGATTGATTACCTGGTATGTACATGTGCCACCCATCTCCTGAGTGCCATGGGACACATGAGTGTTAAATGAAGTTACTGATTGTTTCCCAAGTCTTCTTGTAGCTCAATAAAAGGTTTGAGACCTGATCAAGAAAATCAAGTACTGGTGAATGGATGCTTCAAAACAAACACTGTTCGGGGACTGGTTAAGGACTTGCCTAGAATTTTTCTTCAGAATCTTAGTAAATGAGGGTTTTGTCCTTTTCCTCTCAGGTGAATTGAGAATTGATCTACCAGACACGTGTATGCATGCTTTGCCTGTGTTTTGGAAAATAGTCATTCACTGTTTGACTTTCCTTATTCTTTGAGATTATTAGAAGTTTTCTCACAAATGAATATTATCTTTTAAAAAATTACGCTTTACAAGATGTATTTAAATACTGCTACTTCCTCAGGGTCGGCAGTTTGAAACTACCAGCTGTTCCGCGGGAGAAAGATGAGGCTTTTTGCTCCTGTAAAAATGTACAGCCTCTGAAACTCTCTACTGGGTGACTATGAGTCGGAACTGACTCCACGGCACGTAACAACAACAACAACAACTCCCTAGCGCTGTGGGTTAATGCACCAGACTGCAAAGCCGTTTGAACTGCAAGGTCAGCAGTTCAAGCTCACCATTTGCTCCTCGGAAACCCTATACAGGGTCGCTATGGGTCGGAACCAATTAGATGGCATTTAACAACAACAACTCTCCATAGAGGACTCCTGGTATGACACTACAGGAAAAAACACTGAACCGCAAACTTGGTTTGAACCACAAGGTCGGCGGAGGAAACTCAAGCTGAGTAGCAGAAGCGATTTGCCTAATTTACACACTAATATGTACAATTGAGATGAAAGTTGATATATCTCTTCAATTGGATTTTTTAAAAATATTCTCTCTCATCCTTTTGGTACTATTTAACCATTGTGCAACGTTGCATCTTCAGTATTAACCCATGTATATTATATCATGTACTATGTATTGCCATACCACAGATTAATGCATATAAGATCGGTGGTTCAAATTCACCAACTGTTCCTAGGAAACACTATACAAACTCCCTATGAGTTAGAACTGACTCGATAGCACTTAACAACAACAATACATTCAAGTGCCCTGTTATGACCCTGCAGGATAAGCACTGGACTGGTAACTGCTAGATCAGTAGTTCAGAACCACAAGTTCACGATCAGCTGGAATTGACTCAATGGCACTCAACAATAGCCACAATAGCATAGAACTGCCAACAGGACCTTGTGGCACAGCACAGTAGTTAAGTACTCGACTACTAACTGAAAAATAGGCAGTTCAAGCTCATCAGCCATTCCACGGTACAAAAATATGGCAGTTTGCTTCCATAAAGAGTAAGGATTACAAGCTTGAAAGCCCTCTGGGACAGTTCTACTCTGTCCTAATGACTTCTATAAGTCGTAATTGATTCCATGATGATGACAAGGCTTTGGCTTGCTTACGTTGAACATGTCTTAGGAAGATCAGTTAATAGAAAAGGACACTGTATTTGGTAAAGTAGAGGCTCTACAAAAAAATAGGAAATCCTCAGTGAGATGGATTGACACAATCACTTCAACAGTGTGCTCAAACAAACAGAAAATTGTGGAGATGAGATGGACACTATTTTGTTCTGTTAAGCATAAAGTCACCATGAGTTGGAACAGACTAGATGGCAACAAGGAGCAACATATTATTAATACATCTTGCATTAATCATGTCTTGACTGTTTAAAACTTGTGTGAATTGTACTCAACTAAAAAACTCTCATTTAATGTAAAATAACCATTTGGAGATAAAAAATTAAGAGTAGTAGCTATGTAGTATTATTATATATGGCTCAGAAACAGTTGCACCAAACAGTAGAAGATCAGGACTGAAAATCCGCATAAAGGGGATGACCTTGATACTGCCAAGAACATTTGGCCTTGAGGCACATCATTTAACATCTTCCAGTCATATTCATCATCAAAAAGAAAATATCAAGATCTAGCTTGAAGTATGACACTGTCTGTGATAGGGTAATAGCCATACACCTACAAGGATTACTAAAATATGAGAGATGATATGTCACACATAAGACATATTATCTGGAGGAACCAGCCCCTGGAGAAGGACATCATGCTCAATAAAATTGAGGGTCAGTTAAAAACAGGATGACCTCCAGCAGGATGGATTAGCACAGTAGCAGCAGCAGTCAACTCAAGCATACCAACAATTGTCAGGAGAGCGCAGAATCAGGAAGTGTTTTATTCTGTTGTGTATGGGGTTGCTATGAGCCGAAACCAATCTGATGGCACCTAACAACAACAGTAACAAGGAAGACCAGTTAATACCACTACTCAAATGAATGCACCAACCACTGAAGCCACTGACGATGAAACTGAAGAATTTTACCAAGTTCTTCAGTCTGAAATTGATTAAATGTGCAATCAAGCTGTATTGATAATTGCTGAGGATTGTAATGCAATGGTTTGAAAAAAAGAGGAAGGATCAGTAGTTGGAAAATATGGAATTGATGATAAAAATGATGGTGGAGATCATGTGATACAATTTTGAAAGACCAATGACTTCTTCATTGCAAATACTTTTTTAAACAACATAAAAGATAATACATGGACCTCACCAGATGGACTACACAGAAATCAAATTGTCTACATCTCTGGTAGCATAGTGGTTACGAATCGGGCTGCTAACCTCAGGGTCAACAGTTAGAAACTACCAGCTGCTCTGTGGGAGAAAGATGAAGCTTTCTGCTCCCATAAAGATTTACAGCCTCAGAAACCCTGTGCAGGGTCGCTATGGGTCGGAACCGACTCGACGGCACTTAATAACAACAACAACAACAATGGAAAGAGAAGGTAGAAAAGCTCCATATTATAAGCCAAAACAAGTCCAGGGGTATACTGTGGAACAGACCATCGATTGCTCATATGCCAGTTCAGCCTGAAGCTGAAGAGAATTGAAACAAAACCATGAAAGCCAAAATATTACCTTTAACATATCCCACCTGAACTTAAAGATCATCTCAAGACAGATTTGATGCATGAGATACTAATGATCAAAGACCAGAAGAGTTGTGGGATGATATCAAGAACTTTATAGAGGAAGAAAGCAAAAAGTCATTAAGAAAACAAGAAATAAAAGATCAAAATGGGTGTCAGAAGAGACTCTGAAACTTGCCCTCCAGCGTGGTGTGGCTACAGCAAATGGAAGAAATGAGAAAGTTGAAGATCTGAACAGAAAATTTCAAAGGCAGCTCA